TGATCCCACCAATCTGTAAATATATTTTTATGTTTTGTTTCATTTCATTTTAATGTATTCTTAATGCATTTAATACATCTTTAATGTACTTTTATTTGTAACTCTGGTCTGTGACCGTAATAAAGAAATTTGAATTAAAATATATAGAACAGAAGCTATGGAAGATACCAGTATAAATGGGAAAATGATTTAAGTCTAAGCGTATCAAATGGAGTTTAAATTCAGTAGTAGATATTGTACATAAACATTTCATAAGCACAAATTTGAAACAACTGTTTTAAAAAAATATATCAGTGATATATTGATTTTATACAAGATCAAAATAACATATAGATTAGAAAAATGTACTATATCCCATTTCAGATTATTATGAAGTAAACTTTGTAATTTGTGACCTAATGTTGCATCACTGCTTACATCTCTGAAATCTGTTCTAGTGGATCTCTCAGTCCCTCTGAACAGTTTTCGGAGTGCATGGAAAGAAAAATTGGATCCACATTTAGATGCAACCTAGATTATCTTTTGGTAATTATTTGCAGATTATTTTTGAAATGCTCTAATGGAAAGCATATTGGCATTCAGCACTTCATAATACATAGAAACAAATTTCATAGTGACCTTGTAGAGTAATTGTCAGGTAACTATCTCTAAAATGTCTTCCATGTTTAGAGAAAAAGATGTTCCTTTCCCTTTGGACTAGCTGTTTAAAAGTAAAAATGTACAGTACTGTGCAAAAGTTTTAGGCAGGTGTGAAAAAATGCTGTAAAGTAAGAATGCTTTCAAAAATATATATTATAATTGTTTATGTTTATCAATTTACAAAATGCAAAATGAGTGAACAGAAGAAAAACCCAAATCAAATCAATATTTCAACCCTGAAATATTTCATGATAATTGCTCAAGTACTGTCTAGAAAGATTGTAAAAATGGGATAAAGTTACTATCACTTTGCATAAAATGAAGAATATGAGCAAAACAGTGCTCATGTGCTGTTAAAGCATGTAAAATTTGCGTTAAAGGTTCAGTGCTTTACAGGATTTAATTTTGACTTTGGATTATTTAGAAGAATGTTGAATTTAACATCAAAAGACAAAGACAACAAATACAGAAGGGTGAAAATTATTATAGAAATGATTGTAGGTCTTCTTTTAAACATTGTCTTTTTTTTTTTTCATTACAAGCCATTTTAAAGCTTCTCTTAGGGCAAAAAGATTTGTGTACAGAAATTGATGAATAGGGCACAAAAATTCCTCTTGTCTATTGAACCAAACTGAGTAAATATTAATGACTGCCAAGGGAAGAGTTAGTTGTTCAGTGTTTCTTCAGCATCCTTTCCTTGGACTACCTCCTCATTTTCACTTAGCTCTCCCAGCCTTAACTTAGAAAATCATGAGGTTATATTTGGTGTCACCTACTCTTCATCTCTTTCCAGATTACATTGATGCAGTAGAGCTTAGTATTTCTTACTCACCTACCATTTCTGTAAACATATACCCTCTCACTCATTCTGTTTTCTGTTAGTGATCACTACTATAGTAGATTTCTCAAGTGCATAAGCATGTTATCACAAATAATATCAGACTCTGCGTGGCTGCTCAGTTGAACAAATTGCTAGTATGGGCATTCTCATGTGCCCTCACCCTGCTTAGAACTTATCAAATATTTTTGTGATTAGCTTACTTTAGTTCAATGAACAGGAGAACCTGTGCACTCCCCCCCCTCCATGTACAGTATGGTTCCCACTCTTCAAATGCTCTGGATATGTTCTGGAAGTCTGTTAAGACCTGGCTTTTTGGTTTGTTTAAATGTTTGTTTGTTTTTATGTTATTCATGTGGTTTTGTTTGGTCATTTAAAAATTGTTGAGCCAAATGGAGGTGGGTACCTCAAAATCCAATTCCTCCTCTTGTCTACTCTTTCTCTTCCTTTCTCTGGCAGAATAAGGGTATGCCTGCAGTAATTCTGAGTATAAAATACAGTGTGCTAATGATGTTTTCTGTTAGAAGTATGAAGTCTAGTCAGACATGCTTAAATGAATCTCAAATGCAAATGTGAGTTCAGATAACGTGACAGTATTTATAGGACTCTTAAGGTCATCCATATATGTAAAGGTAATAGAAGAGATTGGTTATTTGTCTCTCTTGGCTGTGTGAAAAGAAAGAAAATTGATGACTAGAAACTTAAATGTAGCATCTGAGACAGGTTTTGGTCCTAGGATAGCCATAGGCAAATATGCTTTAATGTAAAACATAAAGACACATAGAAGAGAGAAACACAGAATGATTTAATATAGGTTTATGGACCTAGTGTCATAGTTTTGATTCAGTATTAAAGAGCTGCCAACCATTTTAAGCTTATGCCCACATTTATAGATGTTCATTGATTTTATGCTAGAATTTCAGAGGACAAGAAATATAGCATACATTTTCTTTCCTGTTTTACATGGCATAAGAAATTATTAGAATGCTTCAGTATCATACAGTAAAACTAACAGGTGATATTTCTGTATAACACCATATTCTTCCATCAACATTTGATAACATCCTTTATAGCAGAGATTTTACTAGGTTGGCAAGTGACAAGTAATTTTAGACACAGGATTATGTTTTGTTTGTTTCTTAAGAGGAAGACTATTACAGATACTTTGCTCTAAAAAACAATTCGTTTTTGGCATCCCAAAAGATTGCATTGCTAAATCAGAAGCAGTAAATAAAAGCAACTGTTGTTCTACCTTAAGAAAAAATTGTTAGAATGCATGCCAAATTGAAATACAAACATAATACTTATATAGTAAAGATTACAAGACTTTTTAAATACAGCTTTGTTCTCAGTATTTAAACTTTTCCAAGATTATCCAGAATTTTAATTCTTAAAAACTCTAATCCCTTGCAGGTGCCATACTAGGCAGATCAGAAACACAGGAGTGCATCTTCTACAATGCTAATTGGGAAAATGATAAGACAAATCGTAGTGGCATTGAACAATGCTATGGTGACAAAGATAAAAGACGACACTGCTTTGCAACATGGAAGAATATTTCTGGATCTATTGAAATTGTGAAAAAGGGTTGCTGGTTGGATGATATTAATTGTTATGACAGGCAAGCAAACACTACTATTTTCATATTTCCTGTTGTGTAAACTAATATTTAATCTGTTGCTTGTTTGTTTTTTTTAAAAACTCCAGGCATTTGATTATGTGTATAAGCATAGGCTATTACACAGGATTTACACAGAGTAAAATACAATTCCTTTTCTGAGGTAGAGTCACCTTAAGGTCAATGACAGAATGATCCTCCACTAATTGGGGATAATGTCACACTGGTTTTTAGGTATTTCTATTTTGATGCCAGATTTGTTTGTTTAGTCTTCTGTGTAGAGATTGGCTAGTTAGTTTTATGTAAATTTTGGTGAGGCTTTGCTGATGGATCATAGCCAATACCACTTTGGAGGATGAGCAAGTGTTTGTTTTTTCCACAATAAATAAAGATAGGGTAAAGGTCCATTTTTCCAAACCTGTTTTGGTAATCAAATTGAAACAGACTAGTGCTGGACTGATCTGACAAGGGACAAACTCTTTTCAGATCCACAGATGTGACTGGTGAGACATTCTCTGCATAACTGAGCTAATTGCATAAACTGCATTAGTTGTAGCTAATGCAGTATTAAAATCAGGCTAAATGCTATTTGGACTCATAATTTAAATTGGGAGTGAGCTGAAACATCAGTCCTTTCTATGTTTTACCTATCAATTTCCTGTATACCTTTTCTCTAAGCAAAAGCCCAAGAAGCTCACACCTTAGTTTAGAAGATTTGTAGTGTTATTTTAAGAGATGCCCCAGAACAGTATGCATAGCATGATTAGCAACCACATTAAAAGAAGCAATAGGCAGTCTGATATCTGCTGGTATCACTTAACTGCTCTCTTGATGCACTGTGAGTGATTTGTGCTGCTTTTTGTGTTGTACCTTCTGTATTATTCCCTTTCATTATGGAAGCCAAATGAAAGTTGATGCATTTTTGCACAAAATGATAATTACTAGGATATTCAAATGTAGATACCAGAATGCCAACCTTTTAAAGTCTGTATTACCTTATTGCTAGCAATTTCGCTGGAGTTTTGTAATATAGTTGTAATATTTTAATATTTAACTGATTTTAATCTCTTTCAGAACTGACTGTATAGAAAGGAAAGATAGCCCTGAAGTGTTTTTCTGCTGCTGTGAGGGCAACATGTGCAATGAACATTTTTTCTACTTTCCAGAGATGGAAGTCACACAACGTATGTGATATACTTTTCCTAGAGTCTTGCAGAAAAAAATGTTTAGATTTTAAAACCTGTATTAAATCTCACTGTATATATTTTAATATTGAAGATGCTTGTAGGTAACAAGTATTTTTCTATTATCCTCATTGAATGATAATCACTGTAAATGAGGAAGCATAGGAAGGGATCTGGACACAGTAGCGTTGTTTAAACACAATACTAAACCATAGTTGAATTAGATGGGAAAAGAAAATTTTAACCTTATATATCTCCCTTTTCTCTCAACAATAATCTATATGGTTGTATCCAATAAAGACAATCTATGATTAAATTATAATCAATAGGCAAAAATAAAAGTATCTTAAATGAGAATCTAAAATGTAAATGTTTAAACTTTAAATGTGTCATCATAGATAACTTTAATTTCTCTAATTTTTAAGAATTGCTCATATTTTCTGCTTTAATATTGAATTATAAGAATTTTTTTTTTCCTTGCAGCTACTTCCAATCCTGTCCCAACTAAACCACCTCTGTTTAGTACCTTGCTTTACTCTCTCGGGCCTATAATGGGAATAGCAGTGATTGTACTCTTTTCATTTTGGATGTACAGACACCACAAATTAGCATATCCTCCAGTACTTGTACCAACCCAAGTAAGTGGATTATTTTGAATGGAAGTAGATTTGTTTGTTTGCTAGATTTATATCCCATCTTTTTTCTATCTTTCTCAAGTCAATATACATTATACTCTGCAACAACAACCCTGTGATATAGATTGAACTGAGAGATAATAACTCAGCCAAAGGCATACAGTAAGCTTCCATGGCTGTGGGTGGTCTCCCCAGTCTTGGTCCACCATCTTAACTAGTACACCCTGCATGTTATAAAATTATGTTATATCGTTATCTTTAACACAGTAGATTGAAGTTTTATTTAAGTATGGGCATATATTGTATATTTTTAAATATATAAGCACTATGACTTGAATAATTAAATTAGTTACAAGGATCTAATGGAATGTGTGAGTCTTTTTTGCTGTTACTTTAGACAGCTGCTATTTGACCTCTTGAAGGTTTTGGGGAAACTGTTGGCATGTAATCTGAGAGTCTGCAGCTAGAGGAAGGAATTAGTTGAAATTGGTTTCTTTCCCTGTTCCACAATTAATCAAAAGGTTGTCAGGATCTTGCATCAAACATTTTGCAAAAGGTGCAGTTTAGAGTAAATAACTCTTCCCTGAGATTATTTCAGTAAGTGAATATTATATTTTTAGAATTTTTAAAAGTCAAAAACTTGTTAGTATCAGTAATGCTGTAATTTAAACTTCAAAACTTTGCAACATTGCTAATGTCCATATATTATTAGAACATATTTTGAAGTTGTAAGAATGAATTGTGTTAATATTACTTATCTATGATAACAGGATGTAAAGTATACATATTAAAATTAAGAAAACTCTTATTTTTCTCATTTTGAAAAAATCATTTTTTGAAATAACAGTTGGGTTGAATATTCAATTGTATGCTAATTTTGTTCAGGTATCTAAATAATCAAAGCAAGTCACTCCTTCCATCACTCAAATTATGTCTGGGAGAAAAGCCTTCATGCCTGTTGCTTTACATGCAGTGGTGTCTATGTAAGTCAGTATCTTGATATTGGAGAGAAGTGTCTTGCATGTAGAAATGAAGGCTATTTTTCAGCGGCCATTTGCACCATGGGTGACTGTCTGCAGGAAATCATTGGCATTTGAATTATATTGCCAGGTTCCATTCTGATTTTTTGAGTTTCTGAACTGGATCCTATTGTTTAGAAAATCTAGGAATAATGGTCCTTGTTGAAATTGGCTACAACATTTCAAACTTATTTTTGTAATAATTTTATTGAAGTTTACAAATACAAAAAGACTAATACAAACTAAGAGAAATATGAAAAGTGAAGTAAAGAAAAAGAAAACTGCAAAGAGAGAAAAAAGAAAAGGAAAAAAATAAGAAAAGGAGAAAAGGAGAAATATAAAAAAAATGACCCTCCTCCCTCTAGACAAATATAAACAACTTCAGTAACTTAACACCTTCTCTAGTATTTCAATAATAAAAAGAATCTCTTCTTCCCATATCTCATCTCTTATCAATAACCAAGTATAAATCATTCAGTTCTATTCTGCAAAAATCCATTAAGAGCTACCAGAAATAATAACATATATATATTTAACCTTAATCAAATAAATCCATTTTGTAGTCCAACTTATCACTTTCTCTGAGGAATAAAACAAAAGAAATCTCTCCCCATTTATAAGCAAATCTTCAAAGCCTCGTCATTCAGTCCTGATCAAGAAGAAATTCCATTAATATCTACCAGAAACCACAACATATATATTTTAACCCTGCTCAAATAAGTTCATGTTATAGTTCTTCTGTTTACTTTTAAAAAGCTTGGTCTTTATCCCCTCAAGTAATTTCTCACAAGTTGATTTCTTATCATTTTCTCTTTGTCTCCTCTCAGGAACAGCTTTAGTAGTTTAACACGTCCCTTTTGTAAATTCAAGATATGGAGATTTATTATTTGTATATTTTACTTATTAAATATCAACAGTTGCATTTGTAAATCCATTGTGGCATCCTTTTCCATATCACTCTTATAATCTGTCATTTTTAAATGTTTTCAAATCCACATTTTTTTCCATATCAATCTTGTAGTCTGGAATTTTTATTTTTTAATCCATTTTCAAATCCACATTCAAGTCTCTATTTTCCAGTAAGTCCAGTAAAATCTGTTCTTCTGTAACCTCTGCTAAATCCATTTTTATAGTAGCAGATAATCTAGTCAATCTTCAAAGTCCTCTCTTATGATATGCTTATTTTCCAATCAGCAAACTCTCATGGGAGGATTTCTTACAGTTAATTTCAAAATCTTCATATATACTTTTATAAAATTTTAAACAACCCACAGGAAATATTCTTTCACATCCATCTGGGCCCTTAACTTTCCAAAATCAACAATCTAGTTCCTCTGTTGCTGTTTTCCAGAAATTAAAACTTTTCTTTTTAATCCTTAAACTTACATGAAACTTCTTTCATCCAGGATAGAAGGAAACTCTCCTGGCATAAAGAAACTTGCCCTTCAGAAGGTTCTTAACATCCAAAAGATCAATAACGAGCACTTTCCTAAGATAGTTAAGAAAGGAAGTGGGTGAACTGAGTGTCTTTTTGAAGGCGCCAAGCTGCAGCTTAGGCAGGATGATTTTCCCCTGGCTCCCAGAACTCTCAAACTCGCCAGAGATTGCTATTTTGCTGTCTGTCTGCATGTGAACCTCTGTATAGAGCATACCTGTGGGTGATCCTAGTCCCTTCCTTGATCCCGAGAGGGGTTCTGAGGAGCCAATCCATTCACCAGCTCCTCTTTCTGCCATGGCCATCAGCTCTACTGTTGCGGAGCTATCTTCAGTCCACCATTGCTTCCCTAGAAGCCCATTTCAAACTTATTTTTGAAGATGATGAATTTTGTGAATATCCATAACTTACACAGAAATGTATATGCACACTTCAGAAACATTCTCACTCAAAATTTAATGCTGTCTTTTTTACTTGTTTTAAAACTGTAAAGTGAAAACCTAGAAAATCAGTTGAGGAAAAGCGCATCCTTTCCTCAAGAAGCTGTCACTGGATCGCACCATATTGGACAATTTTCATCCAGTCTCCCACCTCCCCTTTTTAGGGAAGATGGTTGAGAAGGTGGTGGCGTTGCAGCTCCAGAGGAGAGGATCCTGGAGGAAATGGATTATCTGGACCCTTTTCAGTCAGGTTTCAGGCCCAGATTCAAGATGGAAAAGGCATTGGTCGCACTCATGGATGATCTCTGGTGGGAGCAGGATGGGAGTAGTGCATCTATCCGTGTTCTTCTTGACTTCTCGGGGGCTTTCGATACCATCGACCATGGTATCCTTTTGGGTTGGCTTAGGGAGTTGGGAGTGGGTGGTGCAGTCTTGCGCTGGTTCTCTTCCTTCCTCCAAGGTCTATCTCAATTGGTGTTGATTGGGAGCGAGAGGTCCAGCCCACAGTCCCTCCATTGTGGGGTGCCACAGGGTTTGGTATTCTCTCCACTCCTTTTTAATATCTGTATGAAACAACTGGGTGAGACCATCCGCCACCGTGGGATGAGGTATCATCAGTATGAAGATAATACCCAGTTATACATCTCCATCCCTGGTGGCTTGAGTGATACTGTGACCACCCTTTCACAGTGCCTGGAGGCTGTGGGGGTCTGGATGGGCAGACTTCATCTGAACCCTGGTAAGACAGAGTGGCTGTCTTGGAAACCCCTCTGTATCCAGGAACTTACCATCTTTGGTTTTGGACAGGGTTGCACTACCCCAGACACCCAGTGCGTAATCTGGGGGTCCTCTTGGACTCATGACTCCTGCCCGAGGAGCAGGTGGCAGTTGTTGCCAGGAGGGCCTTTGTCCACCTTTGTGTGGTGCGCCAGTTATGCCCTTTCTTGGATCAGGAGGCTCTGTGGTCAGTTACTCACGCCCTGGTCATCTCTCGGTTAAACTATGGCAATGCACTCTACATGGGGCTACCCTTGAAGAGTATCCGGAAGCTATAGCTGGTTCAAAATGCGGCTGCGTGGACAATCTTGGGTGCCCCAAGGATGGCACATATAACACCTTTACTGCGGGAGCTGCATTGTGTGCCAGTTTGCTTCCGGGTCCAATTCAAGATGCCGGTTATTACCTTTAAAGACCTAAATGGCATGGGTCCAGGTTACCTGAGGGACCAGCTCATCCCCTTCACATCAACCCATCCCACCCTGTCAGGTAAAGAGGGCATGTTGCGGACCCTGTCAGTGAGAGAATGTCAGCTGGCAGGGCCCAGGAGGAGAGCCTTATCTGCTGTTGCCCCCACCCTTTGGAATGTTCTCCCCCCTACCCTCCCAGCTTTCCAGAAAGGGTTAAAGACCTGGTTCTGCCAGCTTGCATGGGGTAATAAGAGCTCTCATCATCCCTGGGGATGGCTAGCGCCCTGATGCAGTATAACTATCTTGTGTCTTGTTGCTGTGCTCAGTCTTGCCATGGTGTGTAACCTGTAACATGAAACTGTCTTCCACAACCTCACCTTAGTAGCAGAGTTTGGCTGTTCCTCACCCATGAAGCCAAAGGGTGGTCACACCAAATATTGATTTGATTTGGGTTTTTCTTCTGTTCGCTCACTTTGCATTTTGTAAATTGATAAACATAAACATGATGACGCTCTGAAGCCAAAGGGTGGTCACACCAAATATTGATTTGATTTGGGTTTTTCTTCTGTTCGCTCACTTTGCATTTTGTAAATTGATAAACATAAACATGATGACGCTCTGAAGCCAAAGGGTGGTCACACCAAATATTGATTTGATTTGGGTTTTTCTTCTGTTCGCTCACTTTGCATTTTGTAAATTGATAAACATAAACATGATGACGCTCCCTGAGTTAATTGCCAATTCTTGTCATTCTTGGAATTTATTTATTATTAAGATTTTATATTTTATTTTAATTGAGTTTATCTTTTCTGTAAACTGCCCAGAGTTGCTTTTTAACAAGATGGGTGGTGACAAATTTGATATATAAATAAATATAAAAGCACTAGCTTGCTAAGGTATAAGCTTACTGAAGTGAGATCAA